ATATATATGTATGTATATATATATATACCCTAAAAAACTAACTACTACAATTGAGCATGATGAATGAAGATCCTCTCTTTATATATATGTTTTCCCTAAAAAACTAACTACTACAATTTAGCATGATGAAGAAAGATCCTCTCAGGGGAGATCACGAGACCAATCGAGCCAACCAAATCAACCAAAATCGAGTAAAAAATTGACGTGAGGATGACCGATTAGCACCACCCAAGCAGCTCGCCTGGAACCTAACCATGAGAGGTTTTGTATCTCCAGCCAAGGGAGCGCTGATTCGATGCAGAAGTTTATCCTACAGAAGAGCCGACCCGGTGTAAGAGTTGGTTTCATTTAATGAGGTAGCATTTAATGAAGAATGTTACCCTTTTTTTAACTATTCGTTCATAAGATTATGGCTCTAGTATGGAATCCATTCCTCCTCTCTCATTCTAGTTTTCTGCTGTCCTCTCCTACGCTATTCTTTGACTATGATTCATGGATAAATTGAAATTCAATGATTCATTAATTCATGACATTTTCATTGAAACAATTACATTCTAAATTAATAAAAAAAAAACCAGGATGCTGAAAATCAAATTAGAAGCAAATGGTGTTAGATAGTCGAATCTTAATAATAACCCTCGAATCTTTATCAGCTGAAGTAAATTTGATGTCAACGTCAATAGATGCTAGCAATAGCCTGCCTACGTGGCAGGGCCCAACCCTATTAAAATATATTTATTTTATTATATTTAGGATTATTCTAAATTGAAAGATGAAGAACGGAAATAAAAATTAAAAATAAAATAAAATAAGCAAGAGGGGGGGGGGGGGGGGGGGGGAATAATTTAATTAGGTCGCGTCTATTGGTAATATCTTCGTTCAAATTAAAAATGTAATGCCTTCTAAAACTAACTAAATGGCATCATAAACCCATAAATTCTTTTTATTATTTTGGATTGACGTGTGGGACTTTTTGGCCCATAATTAGCTATTTAAATACTTAGGGGCCATTTTGAATCACTACATATTTTTATTTTTTATTTGATTTATTTTTCTTACTTAAAATACAACTTATTTGTTATTGACTAAGTGTCAATAATTAATTTCAAAGTAATTATTTGAAATATATATAT